ATGGTTTAATTTTAGCAAAGAATTTTAGAATTAGCCCAATTCACGCCCCCTCTTGGGCATCTTGATCCTTTCAGTCCTCACTGCATCCAATCCCTTCATGTATAAAATACAATTAGTTAGCAACGCGATCATATTACATTTAAAATCAAGAAACGAAAAAAGGCTTTCAAGCACTCACTGGCACATAATGCAACAACATGCTTGTTTAAGACCTACATCTGTACTCTTGTCTCCTCCCTTGCCTCCTTCCTTGCCCTCTCCTCCTCTAACGTCCTCCGTCTCTCCAATCTCCATTTGTCAAGCCCAACATCGATCGGGTTATGTATACCGCACTGTCTAGCAAACTCATGCATCTTGTTTTGGTGATGTTTAACGAATAGGTTGATGTAGTTAGGTCCATATCCCTTCTTCCGTGCAATTACTTGCCTCCCCTTCAGTTTATCCAAAAACTTAGCTTGACCATCATAACATTTCCACCTGCATTTCCTAGTGCTCTGTTCAAACAAAAAATTATATCATATATGTCTTAGCAAAAGAAACAAAATACGATTTCATGTTTACCACAAAAATAATCAACCTTATCATAGTCAACCATATGGCCGCAATAATGGCCTATTCCAAGCTTCGAAGGGACTAGACCGTAGTTGAATTTAACACTACATTCGCACTTGACTGGAGGTGCTTTGTAAATTAACCTTTCTTTCTTTTTTTTCTTTGCCTTTGGTGGCTCCGACCATTGATTCTTAGGACCGTAGAGGCACTCATTGAAACGACACTTCGCAAATCCATAACGCTATAAGAGAATACATTAGTACACGCACACATATAGAGATAAATATTTAAACAGATACACTTTCCAGTTACTTCGTGTTTGTTCGGACACATAAACTCCAACGTATTCTCAGGGTTTATCATAGCTTGATCTTCGCATTCGCACAGAGGAGGTTTCTCGAGTCGTCTAACTGGGGATATGTGCTTCTCCTTAGCCGTCATTGGCGGGGGGTTAGGGGGAGTGGAACCCAACGCTGGAAGTGCTCACGTGGATGTCTCCCTCTACACCAATCGTCGAAAAGGAGGTACCTAGGGTCAAACTTCTCTGCACCGTCGATCCACTGAAAGAAAAAGCACCTCTCATGGTCCTACACAACAAGATTCCAACAAAATATTAGTAGCCTACTTACACAAATGAAGAAAAAAAGATAGTGGAAACAATTACTTACATTAAAACGACTGCATGTGTAGAAGCAACGCGCCGCTGTGTCTGGATGTCTTGATTGAAACACGTCGGCCGGGAAACCACAGTCACAGTTAGGGACAGGGAGGTTAGGAGGGACGGGGGCATCTTTGCTAGACGCATCGAGGTATAATTCTCGAGGACGACCCCATTTTCGCCAAAACTCCTCCCGATACATTTCTTGCATCTAACAAAACGGTTGTAATTTAACAAACAAAAATCAAAACATCACTAATTATGCCAATGAGAACCATAAGTACAATACAATCAATTTCGTTCTAAGAACCGAAAACAATTAACATTAAACCCTAAACCTAGGGTTTCCCATTTGATGCACAACAATGAACCCATAACATAACAACATGCGCTGCGGTTACCTAGGTTTGCTAGTTTTTTCACGCCTTGGCATCATCCTACGATTATATAATACAAATATTAAAAATTGCATGAAACCCTAAGTCATGACGATTCTTAGGTTGAAAAATCCGACTAATATATACCGAATCGATGTGAAAAAAAACAGGAGGGGAGCGAGGATACTTTACTCTCAAAGATCTATAGATCAAATCAAAGTTTTCAAGATTCAATATGCCGATTCGTGAGGTAGGACGAAGTGGGGAGAGAAAAAACCCGAGATGGAGGAGAAAGAAGAAGAAGAAGACTCGGGCAGGAAGGTTGGGGCCAGGGTTAAAACACCACCTCGGCGTCATAGATCATGGCGCCAAGCTCAGCGCTAAGATCTACTGCACCGAGCTCGGCCTCAGGATCTACGGCGCCAAGCTTGGCGTCAGGATCTATGGCGCTGAGCTGTCTGCCAAGTCACCGATACGTCTGCGTCGAGTCCAAGACCTCGGTGCCAGCAACAATGGCGCCCGAGTAGTGTAAGTTCGACGCAAGCAACACTGGCGCCGAGCTAAAGGTCCAGATTTTAAAATCATATCTCAAGGATATATTTGTGATTTAAAAAAAAAAGATTAAAAAATAAAAAATTCGGGCGCTTTGTTCAGTGCTGAAAGTGACGTAGGGGAGAGACAAGTGAGAGAGGAGAGTTTCGATGTACAGAAATGATGGGCCTTGAGGATGCAGCTAGCTAGCTAGCTTTTCATGATGCACGGTTTCTGCTCCATGCTAGAGAGTCCAGGGAGCAGGATAGTATTTAGCAAATATTTATATTTGTCTTTTAGGAGTAGTTGTCATTATCCATTGGAAACTACAAATATAATATTTATATTTGTATCATGGTTAAATAAAATAATTGAAAACTTGGTTCAGTCGATTCCGTGTTTTCTCCTTGAGAATACATCTATGCTACAGTGCATCACCTTTTTACAGTTTTGTTTGGGAGTGACTGAGTGAGTTTTGACAGCATTGTAAAGCAGCGTAAAAGCGAAGCCCAGAGACGTAAAGGAAAAGTTTTTTCATAGTGTACATGATCTTGTTTAGATTGTAAATTTTTACAATCTGAACACTGTAGCACGTTTCGTTTGTATTTGACAAACTTTGTCCGATCATGGACTAATTAGACTCAAAAGATTCGTTTCGTGATTTACAATCAAACTGTGTAATTAGTTATTTTTTTACCTACATTTAATGCTCCATACATGCGTCCAAAAATTGATGTAATAGAGAGAGTGAAAAAATTTAGAATTTTGAGACAATCTAAATGTTTGGTCGCCGAGAAAAAAAAATTATACCTGATTTTTATTTCCAAACGGCTGTCACATTTATAGAATCTCTACTGGCTGCTTCTCCTTTCACTCGTGTTGTTTCAAATGATTAACCAGCAGGGACCAGCTCAAGGAATCTCTACTGGCGCCAACAGGGACCAGTACATCCTGCTGAAAACTGGAGCAGACCTGGCGACGAATTTCATGCGACGAATCAAACCAGGGCCCAAAATTCTAGAGTTTTTTCATTCTCTTCCCATTATATTATTTTTTTAATTTAGGTTCTAGTTTAGTTGGAAATCTGAGAAATTATAAAGACGTTTTTGTATTTTCAGATTCATTCATGCTTTTACAAAGAGAACAAGGCCCAGGGGCCCAAAATTCTACATTCTCTTCCCATTATATTATTTTTTTAATTTAGTTTCTATTTTTGCTCTTATAAATACATAGTAAAGATAATGTATCTAAAAGCCAAAACATCTTATAATTTGGAATGGAGAGAGAGAATATATTCTACCTAATGTGTGGTTTTCATAGGGCTAGCTATTGGTTTTCTGAGGTTTGGTTTTTTCGTGTACGAGAACTAGGGTTTTGGAAAACCAACACCCGATCGATGCAGTAAAATATAAAAAACCAATACTGTCAAAACTTCGGTTTTTGGTTTCTCAGTTCGGTGATCGGTTTCCACGGAATACAGCGAACAGAAGACCCGGGCCGCCACCGCTAGGCTGCTACTCGCTCCATGCAGCCGCGGGGCCGCCACCACTGGTCTGTTTTAGCTGATGCGCCGCACAGCACTGATGTTCCACTTGCCGCCAATGCGCCATCCACGGGTCGAGTGGTTTTTTTTCCTAATCCCGATGTCCCCAAATCGATTTTTGTGCATCACATGTGTCTAACCCCCACGTGGGTTTGCTTCCATCAAAATCAGGAAATGTTCTAAATGTTTGTTACTCTCTCCATAAAAAAACATCACATAGGATTTTAGGTTGGTCAAACTTTTTTTAACTTTTATTAGATTTATAGAAAATATTAGCAACTTTTGTATCTTCAAATAAGTTCATTATAAAAATATATTAAACAATTAATCTAATGATATTAATTATATACTATAAATACTAATATTATCTTGTATATGTTTAGATAAAGTTGAAAATATTTAACTTCTAGGGAAGTGGTAGAATACATGCTCATCATCAATAATTCAATATATATAATTACTTAATTTCTTCTGACGTCTAGAATAAATAGCGAACGGTAGGGATTGTACAGCACGAAACGATAAAAAACGAACGTGAGTTACGTGAACAGTGAACTACCAGCAGAAAGAATTGGGACAATATGAAAACCACAAGCACTACACGTTTAGCACACATGCATTTTCATGCTTAGCAGACTAATGAGTACAAAAGATTAGGAATTTGTGCGACCAAACCATGTTCAAATCACATCTTCTTGTCTTTTACCAAAAACAGATCCCACCACACAAGCTATCCCCTTCAAAAACTAGAACCCTCTGCTTCAATATCAAGTCAGCAGCAAAATGCACCAGCCATTTTACAATCATTCATGCCGCAACACAAACTTGACCTCCAAACTTTCGTAGCACCCTGCAGGCTAGGTAAGCACCACCTGTGTTGTAGGGCTATGGGATCCGATGACAACTCAACCGGTGCTTCCATGCTGTTGCCCTCGACAGAATTTCTTTAGTCCACCATTCCTTCACTTTTCAGGACACAAAACAAGTTTCACATGATCCGCAGCTATTGCTTCTTTCCACCCTGCAAAACACAACCAAGCTTCACCGCTGAGCTAAATAAGGAAGAACAACAATAAACTTTCCTAATTTAAAAGATGTGAACAGTTATTTTACTCTAATGCAAATAAACATAATATGCCAAAATAATGCTGTCTACTTTTAGAATGGCATCAGTTAACTTGAGCACTTGTTTTCTTTTCCTCAGAGATTCATGTAGAATAGATAGATGGTTTCCTGTGTCTTTTTAAAAAAGAAAAGTAAGGAAAAGAACTGCCAGGTCAAGTTAATATAGTAAAATGAACTTTGTTATGTAGAGGAAAATTTATTGGTTAGCAACACTTCAAGGATGTTCAAATATAACAGCAGCAAGATGTTTACTTTGAGAAAGAAAGGCTGTCGCTTCTTTACTGGAAAACATGGTGCGTTGTAAATGTTCATCCACTACCAAATCTGCACTGCAGTAGGTTGAATAACTGATTTCATCTGTAGTAACACTGGAGTGAGAACGGTTCTCAGCTGCTGGCGTACTATTACTATCACTATGAGAAATGCCTTCATTTCTGTTACCCTCATGGGTAACAGGTTGCATCACCTTGACTGGTGCATGTTTCACTGTCATTGAACTGGGAGGGACTGGGTCATTCTTGGAACGGAAGTCCTGCAAGTGTTCACTACCATCTTCAATTGCAACACTTATAGATCCTATTAGCACACGAGAGTTTTTGCTAGGACCCATGCCATGTTCATCTATGTCTAACTCATGTTTTTGGCACTGTTCTTCAATCCCAGATTGCAATTTCAATGCGCAAGTTTTGTTTCTACTTGGTGCAGAACAGACATTTGGATCCTTGTAATTTGAAGGCCTCACAAAAGCTGGATGCTTTGAAGTAACTACAGGACCAGGTACAATGCTATTTTCAGCAAGCCTCTCTGTTCTGCCTAAACGATGCCTTGAAACGTGTTGCCTTAATACAACACCTTTATCCATTTCAGGCCCCAAATCACAACTGATATCTTCTACCGATAGGTCCACATTAAAACCATTGTCAGTTTCTGAAGTAATTGGTGCTGGAAATTGAAGATACTGTGATTCTTCTTGCTCAAAACGGTCAGGATCAGAAATGGACTTGACACTTTGAATGGCAGTAGAACATGTCGCATCATCCATGATTTCAGGTGACTGAACTGTCACATCCTCATCCTTGAGGTTTTTTAACCTCTGTTCTTTCTGCCTAAGTTTCTTCATCCGCTTCCTTTCCATCAGTTCGGCTTGCCTTGAAGATATAGAAGAAAAATTAAATAAATTCCACTTCAAAATTGAGCAAAATGATGGTTTGCTTGCTTTTTGAATTTTATAGTGCACTCATAATGGCTAACCTTTTCTGAGCAGCTTCCTCTTCCTCCTCCAGCAACTTCTGGCATCTTAATGCTTCAGCAGTCTTATCAGCACACCATGCTTCAACCTGTAGTTCGATTTGCAGTAGCAGAATAAATTGATCAAACTTATACATAAAGGGTAAATGCAAAATATCTTTTTTTTTCACAACAGAAGTACTATCTTACCAGCTTTTGTTCAAGCATGTAACTAACGCACGAAACAACATTTTTCAACTCAGTTGCAATTTTGTCTACCTCTCCGTCAAATAAAAACTTCTGTATACAAGCAGCTGTATTTGTGCAAAGAAATGTTTTCTCACTTGCTTCATCAAGCAAGCTAAATAGTTCATCCGATGACACAGGCAGATGCATTGAAGCCTTTGTTTGAATCAGATCCTGTAGAGAAGAAAAGGAACATATGATGCTGGGTTCTAAATGCACGCCATTGGTCAGGAAAAGGTAATTCAAAGACCTTACCAGAAGCTCACTGCCAGCTCTGGCATATGCCATTGGCAACGAAGCATACCCTGGTTTACACATCCATGATGATAGTGCTGTTAAAATTGATGAACCAGTTACACCCTGAAAATGTATTTATATTCCCAGTTACTGATTTGAAAGGGAAACATGTTTAAATATGTCGCATATTATTTGGGAATTAACAATCTGGTAGTACAATACTTACCTCTACAACAACCCCTGTCAAGGACAAAATTATACTGGCATCATCCACAGTCAGCTAAAGAGAACAAAAACATTCCAAGCTATGAGCAATGTTTCGGCGCAGAATAAAACCAAATTGTAATGTATAAAGGGATACTTAACAAAACAAGCTAATGCACTAATCTAGATATACTTCACGATGTGAGGATAAATGCACAAAAACTAGACCGAAAGTTGTAGAAACACATGCATATCCTTTTAAATGAAATGTAACAAGGATACGACACGTACAGTTTTCTTTAAAAACTTAATAACAAATCTATAACCTGTAAGCGAGTTACTTCAAATATTACATAATATGTGATCAAGCTTAGAGTAAGTTCACGAAACTGGCAAAGTAAGAAGAAATTTTATTGAAGATAACTTACTTTATTCCAGAATGCAGCGAGAAGGTCTCTATTCTTGGGAAAATCCTGCAGAGCATGAACAAATATGTCATGCCAATGTATGGCAATGTGATGGAGGAGCAGTTTCATAGGGAAAAATGACTATGTGAAATAAATGAAGTTCAGTATGACAACAGTCAACAAACACTACTTTACCATCGATTATAGTTGTATACAGCTACGATGTTTAAACTAGTGTAATTGGGAAAAAAAACTTAACACTACACAGGGACTGAAGGCTTTCAACCATTCAAGATACAAGTTAGTAAGCGATTTCGTGATTACTATTAGGTTGTTGTGCTAAACTTTCTATAGATTATCAGATAGCTAAGGAGTCCTGGATATCCCAAATTTCATAAAAGTGAAAAGTCTCATTTTGAATGGTCAGACTATATCTGACATGGCCTCATCATAGACGCGGGTAGCCAACTAGTGATGTGTCTCAAACTAACAAAAAAAAAAAAAATCTTTACACAAATAGCTGAAGCATCCAGTCTTTTTTTTTCTTGAATTAGCAGGAGAGCCGGGCATCAGTATGTTACAAGAAGAAAAGGTGGGAGTCTAAGAAGACTCGTACAAGCCCATTAGGGCATGGTTCTTACAAGAGTACTTATCAGAAAAATAGAAACTACGACCAGCAACCATAAGAGTCCATAGAAACTACAACTCGGCCAGACTTTCAGCACCATCAGAAAAGGAAATGAATAACAATGAGAATTTTGACTTGGGAAGCAAGCTAATTATCCACGAAGAATACATTCTTCCAATTCACAACTTGATGACTCGTGTTAAAAGGATCCTGCATTATAAAAGCAGAAAGACCTACGTCATCGCAAAAGCCAGGTACGTGGTGCTGAAGCAGTTTGGTGCGATGACCAAGGTCACAGGATCGACCGCCCGAGGCCGACCTCCTACCTTATTAATTAATTTATTAGAAGACTCGCAGTCCCCCCATACTTCCCCCATTTGTCTAACTACTATGGTAACTCGGTACATAATTGGAGGGAAAAGACAAAAGCACAAATCGCTTACCCTATCTATCTTGAGCGTTCTACGATGAACACGTGTATGCCTCCGGAAGTTGATTGTGGAACAGAATTCTCTTGAACACTTGGTACACTTGTCCAACTGCACCTTAGGAGGTGAGAACAATGGCCACCCTGGAAGATCTGGAAGCATAAATATAGAGGTTTAATTGCTGACAAGGGAATTTCTTCTGCCCATCCAACAACACCTATTGGAGCTGCCTATATCACAACCGAAACAAATACCAGTTTTCTGACAGGACATACATTTCTCAGTCTCACCATTTGCCTTTGCAGCAGCCTGCGCAAGCGCAGCAACAGCGTCCGGGATTTTGAGGGGTTGGATTTGGCCGGACGTGGTGATGATATCCCTCGCGGTTTCTGCACTGTCCTTGCTGGAAACATGGTTGGATTTCCTGGACGCGTTCATCTCCGACTGCAAACAGGGGAGCGGTAATTCTTGCAATCAGTCAAAGTTACAGTAGGCATCACGTATATACTTGTATAAACTGGACCAGATCCAAATTTACATTAGGCCATTAGGGTTTGGAGCGCTCGGTTTCGCAAGCGGGTAAGGACGAGAAGGGAGGCGGGCGTACCTGGCGGGTGCTCGTCGCCGGCGAAAACCGCAGAAGGGCGGCGGCGCTCGCCCAGTCGTCGCCGCAAGGAAAGGAAGGCGAAAGAAGAGAGAGATGAACGGGAGGGGAGAAACAAAAGGAGGTGGCGGTGAACGCTGAACACGGACGCCGATCGTCAGGCGTGCGTACAGGGGGCTTTTGCTTGCATCCACCGTTGTTTCCGATCGGACGAGCGAATGAAGACGAGGGTTGTGTTCTCTCCCCTCTCTTTCAACAGACATCATTGGCCCACAAAATGTACTATAGCACGTAGGGAGTATCACCTTTCCAGTCAGTCGTGCCATGCCCCACAGTGATCGACAAAGATCTGCGCGGCCGCAAGCCCCGCTGCCCAGGTGTTCGACGAAATTCCTCGCCGCGCGCCAACACCAATCCCTCCCCACATCGATGTCCAGCCGCGGTTAATTGCATCTGCACCAGTCGGCTCACGTCGCTGGCGCTACTGAGAGGGTCATCTTTGCGTCGACTCCGACCTGGGTATTGGGATTGGTGCCTGCCTGCCTGCCGGACGGCACTCGGCCGATTCGTCAGCAGCCGCACCATGCTTCGCTTGGTTCTGCTGCATGCGCGCCGCCCTGCCATGGCTCATGTAATGAGGTGTTCTACAGTTTCCCTTTCTTTTCCTTTGCCGAAGAATCCATGGATTGAATTATCCAATGATTCAATGGTACTTAGCTGATGAATCATGGTTCTAAATTTACTGCATTTAGAACTTTTTTTTGGCTGAAATTTGGAACATGTCTGCTGTGTCTGCCTTGCTCACTTTTCACTGATTTGTTTGGAAAAAAAAAACTCTTTGCTGATGAATGCCACTTTTACTTGCATTGGCCCAATTGATTCGGTACGGCTTTGATTGCTTTCTCACACCGTTCAAGGAACATGCATAACAGAACGTGCATAGTCAGATTTACATTACCATCTACCAATATAATATTTCTGCATCCTGCGAGGGACGCTGAACAAAATTAGGTGCAGATTTCCCAAAAATAACCGTGCACCATCGTTATCTTGGTTAACCAATTGCTGCTGCATCTAGCATGATCTGCATCTTTGTTTGTGCTCCATCTCTTGTTTCTACTGTACTCCTGAATATTTATATCCTAATGCACATTAATTATTGGATTATGCTTATCTCTTCCTTTTGAATCCTGAGCCAAGCTCGAGCATCTCATTGAGCCAAGCTCGAGTATCTAAAAATCTTTTGCAGAAAAAATGTATGGTCAAAATTGCTACAGTAAAAATTCGGTGACAAGTAAACGAAAACGGAGGTAGTACTAAAGTTTCAGTCCATTTCTATGTTGAAACACCTCTCATGTGCCTTTTTGTTGACTAGAAAACTTTGCTGGTTGAATTTTGCAGAATGAAAAAACACTTATGATGTGCCTGGGGCAGCACCTTGTGAACTAGGAGGTACATATACTGTGTGATGCACTTCTAAAATCATTTGTGTTGATCACTTGAGATTGTATTTAATGGCATGCTTTTAAATAGTGATGACCTATGTCCTCCGTGTGCTTTCAAACTCTTGCAGAACTTCAACATCCGAGGAACTGCTTGCCTGATCAAGCGGTGGTTCAGAGTATTGATGAGAGGTTATCTGCCCTTGTCAATTGCATACAGCAGCATGATTTTAGGACTTAGGCAAAAACAGCTTAGTGTTGAAAAATAATATAGCTTTTAGTTAAGCTGGGGGTAGTAATATATTTTGATGATAGGTAGTTATATATTATAGGATTAGGAATAGCTTTCTTTGGGGCAACCTCAGAAGATGCTTCATCTCCCTTCACGAATCACCATCTTACAAGTTTGGCCTTATATTACATTGCTTCCACGGGTGAAGATAACCAGAAGACGAGGATGTCTGAAACCAACAATTACATAGCATATCTGATGTGTTTTTTATTACACTATGATAAAGCTAAGATAGCAGCTTTAGTTCGAAAAAACCCTATATTTGAGGTCCTAATAATAAAGGGAAAAAATGGAAAGCAGCCAGCTATACCAACCTTAAAAAAAATAAAAAAACATGTTTGCTATCGCCTGGAACTCAGTATCTGAAATGATTGATAGTCTGGTTTTTAAATGCTCAAACTTGCACATTTTATCAACACCTATGCATATATCAGATAATTTCGATGATAGAACTCACAACATAAAACTCTGCAATATATCCAATAGCTCTGTTGCTGACAAATTCATTGCCGTGGCCTGGATTGTGTTAAAGATTCAGATGTTCCATAGATTTCAGTTTGCTGATTCTATTTTAGTTTTTGCCACATGGATTTCATCCCCCATATCCTAATTTAGGCATCTGACATTTCTGTTTCAGTTGATGAAATTTCCACGGCCTAATTGCTTCTAGCAGGTAGTGATGATTGGTCTATTTATCGGTTCTGTGCTCCATGCGACAACTCCATTCAGGGGCAGCGGTGGAGTCATCAAAGGCAGTGGCCAATGATCCAGCAGAGGGGGCAGCATGGTCACGCAGCTCACATTCAGCTAGCCTCTCTCCGTCGAAACTTGGTCACATTGCACTACCTATGGCAAAGTGATGGATGAAGTGGTTAGTCAGGTACACTGATTCTAACAAGCGTCAAGTTGTGACCGTGATTTGAACATAAACTCCATATGGAGTTCAGAAACGATTGAATTGCATGCACAACTTATATATCCTATTTATTTTTCTTCATGCAATGTTTTATGTTAAAATGTATATCTCTTTCTCCATTGAAATGCCATGATTTCTACCAATGATAAGCTGATGTTCCATCAGAAACTTGTATTTCATTGTCTATAAAATTTCATCAATGTTCCCCCACAAATATTGCAACGATGATGATAACTAAATTGTGTTCTCCAACTTCCCGCTTATAAAAATGAAGATATGTGTTAAAAAATATTAGTCTTGCATCATTAAATAGATACATCAATGTGTATGTAATCCTTTCTATCTATTGGAAGCAGCTGCTCTGCACTGATACTCTGACATAATCGCGCAACGCGGACTGGCCTAACATAGCCAGGCCAGACGCGCGGCAACGCTGCGCTTGTTTCTAGTCTATATCTAATCACAATAGTATTACTAGCTACCCCTACTCTGTTTTCATGGCATCTGCAGGCTGCAGCAAGATACATTTTTTTTTTGTGTGTGAACGCAGCAAGATACATACTGGAGGTGCATACTGTACATTAGTATTACAGTAAGTTCAGCTCGCATGGGAATTCCATTTCCAGGATTTACTAGATGGGGTTGCCATAGCCCGTAGGATGTCGAGCGATCTCCACTCGGCATCGGACGTGATCGCCGGCCGCCGCTTCCTCTCCAGGCTGCAGCATCTCAGCGCCAGCTTCATCAGCTTCTCGGCCTGCACCTCCGGCCAGGGCCCGGCGGACGCGTCCAGCACGCTGTGCACGGCGTCCATCTTCACGGCCTCGCGCGCCTGCTCTGCGATGTTGAGGTCCAGCAGCCCCGTGAGCATCTGCAGGATCACCACGCCGAACGCGTACACGTCTGACTCCGTGGTGAGCTCGCCGGTCATGAAGAACACGGGATCCATGTACCCCGTTGTGCCCATCGGGTTCGTGCGGCGGCTGATGGTCTCCTCCTCCAGCGGCTTCACGTGCACCGCGCGCGCCGTCCCGAAGTCCCCCAGCCGGCTCGCGTTGCCGGCGTCCAGGAGGATGTTGGTCAGCTTCAGGTCGGCGTGGATGATGGCGTGGGGCCGCCTGGAGTGGAGGTACGCCAGTGCTGAGCGCAGCTCGGCGAGGATCCTGACGCGCTCCTTCCACAGGAGGCCCTTGGAGAGCCTGTCCATGAGCGTGCCGTTCGGGAGGTGCTCGTACACCAGGCCGCACGACTCCGGGCACACTCCAATCAGCCTCACGATGTGCGGGTGCTCCAATTTGCTCAGCACCACCACCTGCGGATCAGAATTATTCCCAACACAAGTTTAATTACTTCCTGCAATAATTATGGTATGCCATCGCGCCGTTCAAAAACTTTGCTTCTTATTATTAATTAACACATAAGAATTACCTCTTGCTGATACTCTGAGAAACCTTGACTACCACGAGGCTTCAGCAGCTTGATAGCCACTGATGTGCCACCTAGTTTCCCTTTGTAAACTGGGCCATAACCTCCTTCTCCGATGAAATTTCTTGAGTGGAAGTTGTCAGTAACTTTTTCAATTTGCGACATCGAGAATTGCTCAATGTTCTCTGGAATTTGCAGCTCTGGATATCTAGGTTCTGATAAACTCTTCCACTTCAGTGAAGCAGCCATTTGTCTAGGTGACAAGCTCCTCTCGCCATGATTATGCTCCTCTCCTTGCAGCTGTTTCAGTTTCTTTTGCAGTCTTTCTATTTCCTCCTGACCAAACAAAATAAGAGGTGCTGAATACACATGCTCATATGATGCACTAGGTGATTATTTTCTTTTATTTTTATCGTCAGCATTAAGGAGATTCAATACTTTAGTGCTATCATGTGACCATCATTTTATTCCATATAATCTGTATCACCTATTTCTCTGAATCTGCCACCTAATGTTTTCTTACCTATTGCAAGTGAAACCATCTGTATTTGTAGTTAACTAAGGCTTCTGGCTCTGTGTTTAGAAGTAGAATCTGAGGAAGGCTGTATTGTTTAACTCTTACCATGATTTTTTCGGCCTTTTCAGTTATGTTTCTGAAACTCTGTATCTCATCAGATTGATCAGCACCCTCTTCAAAAAAGTTTTCCATCTCTTCGGAAGTGACTGATTCCTCTGTGCCTTGTTCAGTCAATGTTTCATCTTCCTGCACATCATCGTAGAAGCAATCAATCTATTGCACCGACACTGGTAGACACAAATTTTAAAGACTCCCCAACAAAGAACTTAAATGTTGTTTGTTTCTAAAAGAAGAGATTTTGAATGCACATATCATAGAAATTTACCCTAAAGACATAACTCAGAAAGTATGTGTACCGTTACTAATTGATCAGAATCATTCATTTCAGTCGACTCCTCATCCATGATTTCGTCTACCTAAAATAGTACAGCAGAATTAGGACTAATTTTGAATTATGGCCACAGACTTGTTGGCAGAGATGGTTATTGTTTTCGTGAATGGCAATTCTTCACCGGAAATTTACTTACAAGATCACTTGGTGGTGTCACGTAGCCATCGGATTCCTCACCTAGCTCATGTATAGATGCTAAAATACCTGAGCTCCCTCCATATCCTATATTTTCACTGTGCTCCAGGTGATCATTGCTGTATTTAAATAATTGTATTCATCAAGTCATTTCCAAATTTGGTCTGGAGGTTAATGAAAGTAGGTCATCGGTAATTAACATAGTTGATCTCTAGTATACCTGGTGGAGATGTGTTTGCCGTTGAGTACCACCCAAACCTGACAGCACTGGCGAAGCATCACTTGCCTTGACATGTTCCTGTACAACTTAGTTTAGTTTTCATTCTAGCATAGAGAATTAGTTTTATCTGTGTACAGGTTGTACATAGAGCAGCATATCTGAAGAGATGCTTCCTTTTTTTCTGAATGAGATGTTTGAGGTGTAGATTCAGTTCTAACCTTGAACCGATGATGATTCTCTTAATTCTGAGCTTCTTTATCAGGTTCACAACACCGGCAACAGTGTCATCATGTGTAAGGTAATGTGCGCTAACCTGCAGTAACACATACTTGTTTACAAGGCATGTTCCCTGACAAATAAATAGCTATCTTTATCCTTCGTTTTAGGAGCTAGTTGCAATATTAATTTCACTTTATGGTACTGCTAATGTAAATTAACATTGCAGATGGGATTCAAATAGTATATCAAAGAGGAATGTCTAATATTCCTTTCCTTCTTGGCTCAGATCACTTTTTTTTTTAAACAAACTCAGATCACTTTTTTAGTTGTTCTTGTTGTCTGCCTTTTCCTCTTTCCTCTCTCCTGGGCAGACCTAGGCCTTCTTGGTCTTCATTTAGCCCTTCTTTTATTTCTCAAAAAGACCTGTTTTGCTTTTCTTTATATAAATAAATAAATATTTACCACATAGGGGTTTCCCCTACTGTTTTCACTAAAAAAGGAGAGGAATATCTATGTTGTAAAGGTTTATATCATTTCCTTTTCCCTTGCATGAAGATTGAAGAAGGGCCACTGACATGCATATTTACTAGTATTAGCAGTTTAGCAACCAACTTAGCATGAAGCCTCTGAATATCTAATTACTTGAATTCTTTTACCATATAACCCCAAATACGCACTGCATAAGCTGATGAGGTCTATTAATCTGAACTCAAATATAAGGATAAATAGCATTACCTTTCTCGTCCCGCACAGATTTTTGTATCGTGATAACATATTGACCATTACTTTCATTTCCCTGCCTCTATGCATCTCCTTCTCCTTCTCATCAGCGAACTTGTATAACACTCTGCCACCCACTGGAGTTGATGGAAAGGAGAGAATGATTTTTAGTACAGCTAATGACAACAATAATCGCCTCTATCCTGCCAATGCTTATGGTCATCGAGCATAGCCATTAAATTGCTTGTATTATGCTTGTGCTCTTATACCCTGCTAGTGCTTATGATCATCATTAATTAGGCAATCCTTGTGCTCATGGGCTGGTAGTTTCTTAAGGTAAGATGGCTATCATTCATCTTCGTCTATCAATTAATAGTTTGTAATCCTTTGTAGTGTTGGATTCGAGGGCCATATCACTTTGTATTCAGCACGACGGAAAAAAAATCAAATGAATTAAAGACAAGTACATGGCCCTTGGAGTTGTTCAAAGGATTTGTCTGGAGGATTATAAAGATCTTACTGAAAGGCATCCACTTGGAGGGCCAATGAACATGGACAAGAACTATGGTGGCCCTGGGGAATTTGGCAGCAGCCCATAGTATGTTGGCTTTCTCCTTTTTTGAGTTCTTCCCAACTGCGATATGGACCTCTTCCTCATCCATGTTTCTCAGCTTGCTCCCTACATGTACTATCAGGAATCAAGCTAGGATTCTGCTATGCTTTTGCAATCTGCTTCAGTGGAGCACGCATGGCCAGAATAGCAGAATAGGGGAAAGTGAGGCGGTTACCTTTTTCGTGTCGCGCCACTTTACAACAACCATACGGTAATTGTATTGGTATCAACGTCGCCCTTGTGCCTTTTGCTGCTTATTATTCCTAGGAAGGTTAGCTCAAAGAGAGCCAAGTGACAACAAGAGGCTGGAAGCGTGGCTTTGGATTTGGTCTACTTCTACTTATGGTGGTGTGCTGTGTACAGCATCATCCGGCACGTCAGGTCAGTATCAGACTACGGGCCCCAAGTGTGTAATTCGATTAGAGAATATCGCTTCAGTTTAGTAAGCATTTTCAGTAGCCAATTGAATCAAATTTTTTTAAGACCAGGTTCCCAATGGTTTGTGGTATTCTGTTTCAGTAATCAATTCTATGGAGTAATTTCACCATCGTTATCTATGATTTGCAATAAGAGAAGTTTTTTCTTAAGCTATGGAAGTTGGTAGGATGCTAACATGGTGTTAGACTTTCAGTACGCGTCCTATGAATTCTGTCTAAAATTTCTACACCAATCCAAGAAGGTGCAGCCGATGCCTGTCCTCTCGGCAACTGACTTTTGATGCTTGGTGTTGAGGTTTTCCCATTAGAATATCAGATGGCGATTATCGCAGTTTATCGCATCTCCTGGCCGGCAAGGCAGCCGTCTTTTCACAGCTTCAAAGCCGTTGCTTTCAAGCTGCCAAGAAATGTCCAATGTATATGTCCATCTGGCATGGCAGCTTTGGATTCTTTTTTTTTTGAAGTAAGTGGCAGCTTTGGATTCTGGTGCGCCGGTGAATGGCGATTGGACAATTGGAGCTTGTTCTTTCTTCAGCAGTGCTTGTCATAGTAGCATTCATGCTGTCAAAGCTGTCAATATTCACGTCGAGACATCTGCTTCATATTTATCAACATGGACTCAATAGCATATACCGGTATCATTCTTCGAGCTGGGTGACGTGAAGATTGAGGCCGAAACTTCTGTGCAGTGGTTAGGGCTTTGAACCGATGCGCGGCACTGCACATGGGGTAGACAGAGATCGACGATAAGATAGATAGACGACTGGAATGCAAATGCAAGGCACGCGCACGACGAATTGTGCAGGATTACTGGCTTCAGAGGATCCATCCCTCCCAGTTGCTTTCGCCAGTTCGCCACGCACAATTCCTTCTTGTAAGTTTCTTCTGAGCAGGTTGTTACTGGCAGCTTTGGTCAGTCGTCTGCGACAGTGACATAGTGCCTTTTGGAATTTCCTGTGATTTGCACAGGGGTGAGACTTTGACAAACCTGGACACTGGACACTCCTTTCAAACCAAGATCTTTTTGCCTATCTAAATGACGTTCATTCATCTAAAAGCAGTCAACGAAGCAAGCATACAGCATCACTTATGTATGGAAGGTCATTATAATGATTTCATTATTACCTCAGGTACTTTTGAAACCTTTTCTTTTCTTTTCTTTTTCTAACTTTCAGATCAGACAGTGTATCGATGGATATTCTGAATAGCTAGAAGTTCTAATTTGCCCGAATTTATAATACTAATATTAATGGCTCTAAATTTTGACATTATGAATTTGGTAGTACAATCAGACAGGCATTTTGCTTCCATTTACCATCTGTCAAAATGCCACCTGCCACATACTCAACATTCACAAGCAGTATGCACGCCCAGTTAACTATTACTCTGAACTCACCACAAGGATTACAACTATTTAATGGCCAAAGCAGTTTTCATTCTGTAAAATCCTGACCGATATTAAGCATGCCGCTAATGGAGGAGTTGGCTCCTTGTTTATTACATTTTGTTTACATGTATAACTCAAAAAACAAGACTTGCGTATATGGCTCTATCCTAGTATCCTGTCTTTCTGGAAGACACAGGAATGTTTTTTTTCTTCTTGTACTAGTGCCTATAAACATGCTATAAAACAGAAACACATCTTCAGCATAACATAGTATGGGCAATAATATCCTTCCTAAGGCCATGGTTGGAAAGGAGGGAGTCAAATTCAAATTCTCATGATGTAGTTTAGATCTGAACTAAATCCTGAAAATCTAAACTAAATCCTGAAAATTCCCACATCACCCTCATCCAAACACTTTTATGTTCCCTGATAAGAAAGCAGATGTATTAATCTCCATTTGTCTGCAGCCATTCTTGAATTGCAGAGCGGAGAGCATGGTTAGGCAAAAGATCACGGTGGGATAGCTCAAGGTTTGTCATGGGTGATGTACGGTGGCCACTGTCCAGCCATTCCCTTATAGCCTCGGCTTCGTAGGTAAAACCATCTGCAGCAATTAGAGGGTCCCGCATGACATCCTGCAACACATAAATGCAAATTTTAAACCAGGTGGAACAAGTCCATGCAAAAATCAACTGATTTGATCAAAATGACTATGGATAAGAAATGGGAAGAAAAAGGTTAAAAGGATTTTATTTATTTTTTAATTAAGAAGAAATAGGCACCCAAGCTTGCCTCTACGAGGACTTGTATTGGATGGTCTGAGCTATACATGGTCAGTCCTTCAAGAGGAATTTAAGGCTAGACAGATGTTTCACCTCGGATATGGAATCACAGGAAAGAAATTACTCTTGGGCCATGTACAGCCTTATTTTCCTTTCTTCTATATTTTATATAAATATATATACCACAGTAAGGAAGGAGAATACATTTGCTAAGTAAGGACAATATATTTCCTCCTATAAATATTTTCTCATGTATGAGTTACCTGCACTATTGGACAGATGAAGTAGGATGGCACACCACCAAGGTCTTCTGATACTGACTTAAATGACAATGAACACAGCATTGTTGAAGCAGAGTTCAACATTGGTTCAAGTACAGTCCAAACCTCTGTTTGCAAATCAGGACGATGTTTCCTTCTTATTTCACAGCATCTCAAACCTACCTGAGCCAACTGCTCAGCATAAATGGCAGGCCACCCCCCAGCAGATGAATCTAATATTGCTTGCAAACAACCCTTTTCCACTGCCTGTTGCACTTCTTTCAGTAGACCAAATCCTGATCTTCCAGTCAGAAGACGCAGGAGTACGATGCCAAAAGAATATACATCAGATAGGGGTGTCAGGTCACCAGAGATAAGGTATTCAGGATCAATATACACAAAAGAACCCTTTGGGTGGGTATAACGATATAGAGTTGTTGTGGCCTTGAACTGATCAGATAATATTTGGCATACACCAAAGCCGCTGAGTTTAGCTATATTGTTTCCATCGAGAAGAATGTTAGATGCTTTTAGGTCACTGTGAACAATGCTATGAGGCTTATTAGAATGGAGGAAAATGAGTGCGGAGCAAATGTTAGAAGCAATACGGGTCCGTACTTGCCAACTAAGAGGCTTGGAATTATCTTTGCAAGCCAGGCGATCATCCAAGCTTCCATTTGGCATGTACTCATAGACAAGAGCTTGAGCATCTTTGCATGCTCCTATAAGAGTAACAAGGTTTGGATGCCGCACCCTGCTAAGAATCTCCACCTGACAAGCAGAAGGAAGAAAGGCTTTTAACTGCCTGCAAGACTATCCATTTAAACCAACAAATGTTAATTAGTTTTATACTAAATAAAGTGACTAGAACTGAGAATTTAACCTCTTGATTGAACTGCGACTGTGTCTGTTTACTTTCAGGATTCAATTTCTTTATGGCTATGTTTGTGTGCCGAAGAAAGCCCTTGTATACACTTCCATATACACTTTCTCCAATCTTCACTGAGTGGTCAAAGTCATTAGTTGCTTCCTTAATTTCTGAGTAGGAAAACTCTGTTAAGTGCATCGTCCCCTCTACAGTTGCAGTAGACTCTCCTTTCTTTGCACGTAGTTTTTCTGCCTCTCTTAGCGCTTTGTCACGCTGCAACATCAAATCCTTGATGATACGGTCAGAATGGGCACCTCTCTTCTCCAGGACAATTCTTTGCTCACGTTCCCCTTGAAGTTTTAAGCAAAGTTCATCAGTCCTTATTGTGAGAGACTCAATTTCTTCCATTATTGTTGTCAACTTTTCTTCTAGTTCATTCTTTTGCTTCAATTCTCTCAAGTACAAAATTTCTGAGGCTTGTGCCTGTTGGGAAAAATAGATGTGAGATACAAAGAACTTTGCTCACTTCTGTAAGTTTCTTTTAAACAACTGCTATGTTTCTGACAGTGATTTGAAAGTTTGAATGCATGGTAAAAGGAATTTCTCCCACATATATTGTGCCCAATGCAAGTCACTTAAGTCTTCATAGATATATCACAGGCAATGTGAATGGATAAAGTAAGATATTTACTTTCTGGAAAGCCTCATACAACTCTCTTTCTACTTCCTCACGTCTGCATTTTTCTTCATAAGCTTCTCGCCTTGCACTCTCTAACTCCTTCAGGAAATGCTGGAAATTCTTGCAGGAATCAAAAGATTCCTTGATATTGTCCTGCAAGAGATCAATTTTACACACCACGATTTTATTGTATATTAACTACTACTACATAACTAAGACGTTGCTTATGCATGAGAAGGTAAGCTAGTGCTGTTAAGACACTGCAATTCCAGAAATTAGATTTGAAAAAGAGTGATGGAGGGCCAGCTCAAGTGGTATGATATAAAGAAAGTAAGTGCATCTGTCAAAAAAGAATTTCTTCCACATATGTAGACTGTTTCAGGTGCAGGTTGCATCAATAATTGTTACATCATGGACCATAAGCTAGCAGTCATGCACGTTGATTATCATTTACCAAAATGCACCGAAATAATTCTTAATAAATTAATAAGAGTAGCTTCTTTGTTGCTTGATCTTAAGTTTGACATAATTTCAGTACCATCATTACCTTGCCACTAATGTAGGATGGGTCTGAAGTAGTCCTTTCAGTCTGCGGTTCCCTGATTGATTTGCATAGCCATGTGTTGGCAACACACC